GATTAAAACTGAAGCTACAAGATTTTTGTATTTTCCAAAGACATTCATCCAATCGTCCCAAAAGGAGTTATCTATTCCTGAGTGGTCTTTCATTTTGCTGTGAAGCGTTTTTTAGGCCCTCTATGGCTCGAGTGAGGCTGCCATCGGCAGCAGTGTTATTAGGAATGAACGTGCAACACGTTTCTCCTAACATGGCACATACACCTCCTTTTTCTGCGAGCAGCATGTCAAGGGCTATACGGTTTTGGAAAGCCATCAGGGATGTTGCAGATAACTGCGAGTGACCGGCCTAAAAACCAGCCTCAGTCCAATTACCTAGCTTTTGAACGTTGAAATGGATGTAGTTGATTCTGAATCGATCTAAATTTTTGTTCATTGTACACCACGGACAGACGAGAGACTCAAAGCCTGCAGCAACTTGATATACTAGTTTATACTCATCTGGTACCTCACGAGACACTATCTATATAAGTCGGGTCTGACTCTGTTTGCTAGTTTCTTTTACTCTGGAGTGGCTCAACAAAGGAATAAGACTAACTGCAGAGGTTAAATTTGCCACACTGGTCTGGAAAGTTACAACAGTTAGGATTAAAGTCACTAAGGCCCTATTATCAGTCTGCTGTCATTCAGGTACAGCTACAGAAAACGTACAGGTTTGTTATGGTTAGGGAATTCCTAGTACAGACATAGAAGTTAGACTGATTCTTCATTTTTGCTAGATATTTTTGCATATCTGTACCACATGTTCACTTCAAATAAGTTTTTTTTTTTTTTTATTGAGTGGGATTGCAGAGCATTCCACTATATTTTATTCATATCTTTATTAATATTATTCTTCCACCATTTTTTAAATTAATTTTTTAATTTTGTGATGTACCTTTAATAAACATAAGTATAAGTGTTTATTGACAAAACAAGCATACACAAAATCCCATTGTAAACAGAATAACACAAACGCCTAGTAGCAGTTAAGCTATGGTAAAGTTCTCAGTGTCTTCACCACATGAAGCAACTGTGGTGTCCGTCTGGGTGATTCATACCCCTGCTCACTGTCTCTCAGGTTTCCTCTCTGCACATGGTCGCCTTCAGAACAGCTGAATGTGATTTTTGATTGGTTGTCACACAGGTTGTGAGGACTATTGTTGTTGTCACTTCTCTTTCCTTCCTTAAGTTCATCTGAAGTTGTAAATAATGTTTTCAGTACGTAAATTAACAGTATCAGGTTTAGCAGAAGTAAGATACTTAACTTCCCCATTTTCCTAAGCTCCTAAGGAATTCAAGACCATCTAATCTTCACTGACATTGAGAGACGAACGCCCACTATAAGGACGCCCCCTTTGAAGTCAGACTTTCCTAACTAAAACCCATATAGGTTTTTTTTTGCAAAGGGAAAAATGTATCCAACTACTTCTTTGTGCTTTTTTTACCACTGTGGGTGTCATTAGCAGTACCCCTTTTTTTTTTTTTTTTTTTTACTCCTTCCACTTACTTCAATGTATTCAAAACCATTCAAACTTCAGGAGATTCCAGCTTATATTCAATTTTCCTAACATTCATACTTTCAGAGATATTCCAGATTTTACAACCAATTTTTCTCATTAGAAATACATTACGGAATTTTAAATTGGCCCTTTTCTCACATTTTCTTTACACAACTTTAAAAGCCTTCAACTCCTCTATACATTCAGATTAAGATCATTTTAATTTTTCAGTTTTAAATCATTTCATTCTTCATTCAGTATTCAAATTTTTTTTTTCAAACTAATTTCAACTCAATTAAACTGATTTAAACTTTTCTGAATCTTCAAATCTCATATCTTTCACATATTTTTGAACTTAAGCCATTTACAATAGCAGCTTAGCAATTTCAATTTTAGCTGGAGCAATCCATCTCGCAATTTCTTCAGAAATTTTATTTTCTAGTTATTATTATTTATTTATTTATTTATTTATTTATTTCATTTACAAAATGAGTTCCATTATCACTATAGATTCGTTTTGGAATGCCAAATCAAGAAATTATTTCTCTACACAGGATTTTTGCTACTATTAATGCATCTGGCTGGGTGACAGGAAATAATTCTATCCATTTAGTGAAAGGATCTATTAACACTGAACAGTATTTCTTTCTCTCACACTGATTTAATTCTATGAAGTCCATGTGTATGGCTTCAAATGATGCATTGGTCGATGGAAATTTGGCTTTTTTTGATTTTATACTGTCTTGAGCATTATGTCTAGCACAAACTGAACAAATCAAACAAATTTTTTTTTATTTTTTTTAATAATTTATGAATCAATAGGGGGTAAAGTGTTGGTTAACTACTACACTCATCCCTCCTGTCGAGACATGGCAAGGCCCATGACTCGCTATTACTGCCTTTAAAGCTCTCTCTGTTTGCTGATCTGACAAAAATCTTTGTTTGGAAAACCTCATCTGTGGTAGTTTATGTCCAAGAGCTGTTTTTTTTTTTTTTTTTTTTTTTGCACCGGAGTCACACAAAAAGGTTACAGGTAAACCATGAATCATTAACTATATCTGCGGTTTTATGTCTGCACAATGTATTCCTTCTCCAACAAACTGTTGCAGCTCCGCTGTTGAAGGAACAGATACAGGAAAACTTTTTTCTGCCACAAGCTATTGCACTGTTCAATAACTCACATATGTCAGACAGGGGCTCACACCTGTCTGCTTTATAGTACTTTTTTAAAAACTCCTATCACATCATATTACCGAGCACCTTAAATTGTCTGTATATCTATCATCCCATCTGTAATCTTTCGTATTTCATATTTATCACTCATTTCATATTTATTACTCATTTCACATTTATTACTCATTTCAATAGCCCACGTTCTTCATATCTCACTTTTATCTCTTTGGATGTTTAGTATATTTAGCCTGTATTTCTTGTATATACTTAGTATTTTTATTATTTTTAGTCTGCATTGTACTTCTTCTTATATTTAATTTTATTTTGTATTTACTTTTTGCTGCTATAACAAGAGAATTTCCCAGTTTGGGATCAATAAAGTATATTTATCTATCTATCTATCAAAAAAAATATATATATATTTATTTATCTTCTCCAAGTATAGCACTTCTTCCTCCTCTGTCTCGTCTCTGTTCACACTTTCTCTTTATTTCTGTCGAATAACACTTGCTGTCTCTCCCTCTTTTAGTCATGCTTGATACTTTTTTCTACAGCTCTTCACCTAGTGACAAAAGCTCTGCAATTCTCTGATGTTGTGGTTCATGACCTAGGTCAGGGTACTATTCTTTATCTCTTTGCTCTTGTGATTCATAACCTTTGTCCAAACGTCTCCTTTCTCTATCGTTTTCGCTATTGAAATTCCTGCCTCTTAACCTGCTTCTTCCTTGTTCTCTCTGTCATAGTCATCAAATGGTTTATCATCTCTCCTATTATCCCATAGTCGTCCTATTTATCTCATATAGTATGAAATTCATTGTCACATTTGGAGTTAATCTTACGTTAAATAGCATTATAGGGAGGGTTTTTAATTCCAAGTTAGCTTTGGTGTTCTCTGCACTTTACTATGGTTACTTCTTTAAGTTCCAATAAGGTATAATATCAATCAGTTGGTTCAAATGTTTAACAGGGATGCCAGCTGAGGTCAAAAAACCTCTTCTTCTCCAGCGACACGTCTACATGTACAACTTATACTTCATAGACTGTAACAGTTTAGTCACAGTTTTGTCTTTTGATAGCTACATGCTTTTGCATAGGGAGGGATTCTTTGGCTGCTGTGTCTCTGGAGGAGTCAAGGTCGTAACTGGCCTCTGATGAATCATTTTATCATTTGTGCAGAGAACAGAGACTGTACAGAGAATTTAACTTGCTAAAAATTTGCAGTCTGCATAGAACCTTTCTGCCTTTTTAACTGCCTTTTCTACCTTTCATTTCTGCATTATTATCAGTATTATTATTATTAAAATTATTATTATTAAAGTTGTCTTTACTTATAGCTCTTTTTTTTTATAGAGACATGTAGTTTATTTAATTGGCTTGTTCTTGGGCTGCTGTCAAACCCAAATTTGATTACCCATAATTCGAGAAATTGTAACTTTTCTGGCTTTTTCTCAAAGATTCTCCAATCTTGACATCTTAATTCTTCTAATTTAGCCTTACTGGCTTCCGTCCCCTTTTTTTATGTGTTTTGGTCCAGCTGAGGTGACACCTAGGGTGTCCTATTAAGCTGGGTTCTTTCAATGGGGTAGTGATAAAAATTCCTTATGTGGTAATTCTCGCTTCTACTCTTGCGAGTGGAGAATTCTTGCCTTTGCTTCCACAATAAGGTCACTACTTACAATCCCACTGTTTTGGTATGAATAGGATATATCTAGTGATATATCTCTATTCCAATCACTCTCACACTTTCACAATCACACTTTAACACGTGTTTTTATTTTTATTTTTTAATTATTTATTATTATTATTTATTTAACTATTGTTATTATTATGTTTAGTAGGCCTTTCCCACGGATTTGTAGGACCCCAAGTCCTTTTTTAACGGCTTTGTAGGACCCACACGTCCTTCAATTTAACTTTTCCAATTAGGACTCTACCGTCCTTTTTTCACGGATTTGTAGGACCCGTATGTCCTTTCTCCACTGATTTATGTGCGTAGGACCTTTTTTTGGTTTGGTCTTTTATAGATTCTCTACACAAAGCAAATTTCAATCATTCCACGTTCCTTTTTATAAAAGAGCAACTCACCACTTGTCTTTCCCCTTGGCTTCGGATTTCCGTCAACCGTCGGATCCCAGCAGGTGGATCGAGTCCAGTTCCTCAAAGAGGTCTTTCAGACTCATCCTAGAGAGTCTGCCGTGGCCACAGTCTTATCTGTCATCCACCTCACCTGCTGGAATCGTCAGGTCTATTGGAATCCGGCTCAAAGGACCAAAGAAATGTTGGGTCTAAAACCTGCAACATTTACCTGATAACATATAAAGAAGAGAAAGACAATGGTATATACTCGAGGAGAATGGACCGAGATAGCTTCAGGTACCATCTCGAAACCACTCTGAGAGTGCTTTTTCTGTCCGGCCTCTTTTATTTAGGGTTGTCCCTGGTTACACAATGTTTCTAAAGGGTGGGGGAAAAGGTCAAGGCGACTTGTTGCATCTAACGAGCTCCTTCTGATAAGAGCGGCTCCTCCTCTAACTTACCACGATACCAAAACAGTGGAGGATACATCACCCCCACAGCCACACCTGCTGATAGGAAAAACACGGTCACAGAAAACTGAAAGAAACATTGTTGTGCTGTGTAGTAAAGCTTTTGGAGAGAGAAGTTATAAAACACTCTTATATGATAAAAATACTTTTATATGATGTATAAAAAGAGGTCAAAACAGTTTATACTTGTAGTATAAACTCTTACATAAGAATATGAGGAATAATGATAACTTCTATATACATTTATGCACATTATTCTAACAATAAGCTTATTTAAGAGTCGAGCAGTGGCAGGTTCTTGGTTTCAGTCTATAATTATTGCATGCCAACTGTTCAGAGGAAAAAAAAGTATTTAATGCAAACAGTTGAGTCATGCCACTATCATTCATTCAGAAACAGAAAATTTAGAGCAATAAGCTTAAGGATTGTTCAGATAAAATAAGTCATCCCACCTTTCTCACCATTTGGACCGATCTGTGCTGATCCATATCCTGCAATCTGAACCATGTCACCTCTGCAATACAATAAAAACAAAAAATCAGATTTTTCTTCATTTGAAAAAAATAAAATTAAAATTTGAGTCCATCTTCTGGAGTTCTCACAGAAAAGTTGAAAACTCACATCCCGGGGTTTATTGTTGCACTCTTGCTCATCAGGAAGTGGCACAGGTTGATTTGCATTTATGGGGTGCTCTAGCTGCACCAGCATGATGTCGTGTTTCTTTTTAAAAATGATAAACATCCGTTTCTTAAAAATCCAGTGTGATATTATTGCCACAGTTTGTCCTGGACCTGGAGCTGGATGGGAGCCCAAAACTGCTCTCATACCCCTAAAAATAAGGAGAGGTGCAAGAAGAAAATCTCTCCAATTTTGTAAAAACATCATTCCATCATATTACTATCCCCAACCCTAACTATTTACTGAAAGAACCTCAAATGTAAACCAGATTTTATGTAACAGTGAAAGCACTAGGGCTTGTATGACATGATTTGAACCAAGCACTTTGAAGCTCCTATTATATAAATATGGTGCCCCTGCTATTGATGAAGAGCCAGCGTTGATTCGCTTGTACTGGCTGAGATCTCATTTACAGGAATTAATATTTAGGACTGCTACCAGGATTACCAGATTAAAAACTAAAGTTATAGATGCACTACATGTGGGTATTTCCTCAGATAATGTTGAAGATTCTTACGGCACCCAGCAGTGAGCTGCAGTCAGCACCCAGCGTTCACTGACCAGAGAACCACCACAGAAGAAGTTGTTATTTATATCGACGAGTTTCACATGGTACAGGCGCTCATCATCTCTACAGTTGGCACCTCCAAAGACCCTCTTCTGAAGATCTACAGCTGAGCTCACTGTGACACCTGAAAGAGAAAGTCTCCACCATTTTGAGTCAGGATCCTGCGACATTTTTGAATGAAGCTGTGAGCTGTGGATTTGTAAAAGATAAATGATGACTTACCAACCCACAGCAAAAGGAGAAGTTGTGTCATGCCACCCATCTTTCCTCGACTGTGTTCCTGCTGTCAGCAGATGCATTTTAAGTTTTTCCACTCTGTCCTGTTGGTCCTTGGTCCACCAATCACCATATGAGGGTTTATCATTTACACCCCACTGGCTGCCAAGTGTGTACCTGTGCAAATTTTGTCAAATGTCCTTACCCTTTCTGTGCGATAAGTGACTCACACAGAGGAAACACACCCCTATGTGCATTTGGAACTTTCGGATTGTACCAAGGAAATATAGTCATAACTTTTTTTAATCACAAGACCATATCCTCAAAATTGGCCTCAAACGAGCAAATACAATGTCTTCAACAGCTGTAAATTTTAAAAAAAAAGTGTTTCAGCAGCCCAAACCCATAAAGCAAAACAAGTAAGTGTCAAAAATACAGTAACTTTTAAAAATGAAGCAAAACTTGAGGGATTGTGAGAACAAGAAATTCAATTTAACAAGACGTGTGTGATTACAAGCTCATTCATTGCATCTGTTTTGAAACAGAAACAAACAGAATCAGTGACTCACAACGAAAGACATAGTGCATCAGAAATTCACAATACGATAAATAACAGCAGCAACTTTATATTGTAAATGAAATGCTGTCATGCAACACAGTATTAAGGCAACCTCAAAAAAAATGTTAATGAATTATCTTAAGTTAAACATTTGCATGTTTAGCACAAAGGATTTTGCTTAAACTGATAGTATATCAGTTGTGTATATAGTTGTGAAAGGGACCAAATTATTATGTGTATTTCTGTGGCATCTGTAACTGATGGAGGTTAACACTCCATCCATGCATCTTTCCATCCATCTATCTTCTTCTATTCATCTTGGCTGGAGTCACAAGGGAAGCAGTCTGAGCTCACACCAAATGATTTTCACAGTCCCAGACTAAAAACTGAAAGTCTTAAGTAAATCTAGCAGTGGTAATCTGCGTTGCTTCATATCAGTCTTTTCTGGTCTTGGGTTTGCAATAATGTTTGATATTATGATCTCTGACAAAAGTGGAAAAGGAAACCTGACAATCAAAACAAGAAGAACAAGAATGTATGAAGAATTACTGGCGATAAAATGTCGAAAGTGGACAGTTCAGAAAGAGGAGTGGATAGTGGAGCTGTGGGCAGATCAGCCTTGCCTATTCGACATCAAATGCAGGGTTTCCCCTACATGTAATGGCACACCGCCAAGGCTTAATAAAAGCCGCCACACCGCAAAGATATATATATTTTTTACACAGGTTTTTTGTCCTGGGTCTTCCACATCGTCTCCTATCTGAACACCTCACCAGCAAGGCGTCCGGGAGGCATCCTGATTAGATGCTGAAGCCACTTCATTGGACTCCTCTCACCGCAGAGGAGCAGCAGCTCTACTCTGAGCTTCTCCCAGATGACTGAGCTTCTCAGTCATCTCTAGGGGAGAGCCCAGCCACCCTGCAGAAGAATCTCCTTTCAGCTGCTTGTTCTTTCAGTCACTACCAGCAGTTCATGACCATAGGTATGGATAGGAACCACCCCAGCCTGCCAATACTTTTCATTGTTGAGTTTTTGTGAACCAAATGCAAAGTGTGGGCCGCACATTCATTGCTATATTCCATTTGGGGGATAGGGATAAAGGGGGTTAACGTTATGTTGAACTTCGGTGTCTCCCAGGCTAACACAATTATTAAAAGGAGCGCCGACTGTTGTCATTGTCTTTATGTCTTTATACCTCACAGAGATTTGTAAGAACAGGCATACTCACATTGCATGTGGTAACACACCAGCTTCTCTTGAATTGCTGTTATGGTAAAATCAACTATACACAGACACAGCTGCAGGAATGTTGTGGGATTGTTTTATTCATACACTTTTGTGTTTAGCAATTTCCAGATAAAAAGTCACATATTCATAGCAAACCAATCAATTATAAATGCATCGACTGCAAAGTTAGCTTCCTCATTTGTCAAATAAGTTTAAACTGCCTCTTAGACGACAGACTTTGCAAAGCTAACCATTAAGGAAATACTACGTTAGCCGTCTCTTCAATCCAGGCCCTGTATTCACAGACCTGCATGAATCCAGCTGGCGCAACACAGGCATAGTCACCATTAAAAGAGAAAACATGGACACCGTAGAGCATGCCGTTGAACACCACCCCACCACCAGAGTCACCCTGTGACAGAAATGGATATTGTTTTTTAAAAGTTATTCAATCAAACACCTTTTGTCTTTAGATGGTAAGATATGATGATTCGAGATAACTATTAGAGATAAGAAGTTGTTTCTTACTGGAGATGTGTCCCTTCCAGCAGTTCTGTAAAGTGCCCAGTTCTCTTTAGCCTTATTTCTTACTCTTCTTGATCCACTGGCCAGCATACATGTTTTAGTGTTTGTTTCATCTCTAATTTCAAGGTCAACACACTGGAGTGTAGGGGATACATCATTAACTGGATAGTAAAAGACATGAAGAAGTCTTTGGGTTAAGCCATCTCATGTTATATATGCAAAAGTAGTATAACTGAGATAAACTGAATTAATTGTGTAAATCAAACAAATGAGTCATCTCACGTCTCTCATTGTTGGGACCCATCTGTGTTGATGCATAACCTGCAACCTGAACCATGGCACCGCTGAAACATAAAAAAGCAATAAAAGGAACTGTTGATTATTTTTGTCATTCACAACAAAATATGAAGAGGTTAAAGGAAAAAAAACCACAACGTTTTCTATATCTAATGATTTTCCTTTTCAAGGTCATTCTAAAATATCTCGTTCACCAGGACTGTACAGTTTCTTACTCTTCTGACAGAAAAAAAGATAAAAACTCACACAGCAGGTCGATTGTTACAGTCGGGAAGTGGCACAGGTGGAATTGTACTTATGGCGTTCTCTAGCTTCAGCAGCATGATGTCGTGCTTCTTCTTGAAAATAAGAAACACCGGTACCTTGAAGATCTTGTGTGATTTGTTTTTCACAGTTTGTGCTTGATTTGGATCAGGATGCAAACCTAAAACTGCTTTTATTCCTCTGAAAATAAGGAGAGGTTTAAGTATAAATATTATATCATATCATCAGAAAACATTTAGTAAGTATAAGCTTAACATATATGTCAATTAATCTGAAATAAGTTACACTGTCTTACTTCTTCCAGCAGTGAGCTGCAGTCAGAACCCAATTTTCACTGATCAGAGAGCCTCCACAAATGAAATTGTCATGTTTATCAACAATTTTCACATGGTACTGACGCTCATTATTTCCACACGTTGCACCTCCAACAATCCTCTTCTCCAGATTCTCAGCTGAGCTCACTGTGAGGCCTAAGAGAAACCAGGTGTCCTTCCCTGTAAATCCTCAAATACAGGCCTGATCTTTCAATTGTTTTTACTGCCTAAGGTAACAGGCCTTAATTTGAGGCAGCCTTACATTAGAGACAGGTGAAGTTTGGAGTTGCATCAATTTAACCTTAAGAAAAGTTTCCTAATAAGAATCTAATGACATGATATTAAGAAGACAGGCAAGTCTGTAGGTTTACTAAAACATGGAATAAGTCTCAAAGTCAACCTTGTTACCCCATAGTTCAGCCTAGGCTGTATTTAAGAAAACTGTACAGCAATAGATAACAAGCAAAAACTGAGCAGCAGATTTGTAAAAGCTAGTTGAGAACTCACCGGCCAACAGCAAAAGGAGAAGTCGTGTCATGTTGCCCATCTTTCCCTGACTGCCCTCCTGCTGTCACAGTGGTGCATTTAAAGGTTTTCACCCAGTCCTGATGTTCCTTGATGAACCAGTCAAATTATGATAGTTTATCTCTAAAACCCTATTGGCTGCAAAGTTTGTGCGTGGGCAAGTTTTTATTCAAAAGGTTCTTCCTATTTACCTCTCATCTAGTCTTCCATATATGTTCATTATGTGTTCCATGCATCTCTTGTTGAGCCAGTGGTTTCACTCAGATTTCAAAATACTTGTTTGCCACCTTCACTGTGTTTCAACAAGGTAACTTAATTTACTAGCATAATCACATATAGTTGCATTTTTTGCTGTATTATTAGAGGCTCAGTTTCCTCTCTGCTGATTTTTTTTCTGTTACATATGTTTGGATTCGATAAGAAAAAGGAGAAGTGGAAAACAACATCATGTTGTGATTAAATTTTTTAACTATGATAATATTTCCCTCACACTGGCACCTAGAAGGTAAACCACGGGACAAGCATGATGGAACCGTCTTTCTTCAATCAAAATCAAACTTTATTCATAAAGCACTTTTCATACAAGAGGAAATGCAGCACAAAGTGCTTTACATGTTGAAAAACAGCCCCCACAAAGGGCTCTATTTTTGTGCCTGCCAGCGGTGCAGTGCAGGGTGGTGAACCCGTTGATTCAAACCTGGTCAGCTTTCAGCTGGTCAAGTGGTAAATTGGTAGACTGGCAGCAGTGCGCCCAAATGCCTCACAGGCAGGTTTCCACATTGTCAGGCATTTTTCAGTGCAGTGAATTATCAGCAACAACCACTATTAAGTACAAATATCCAAGTCAGCACATACATCCAAATCTATATCTGTATATTCTGGTGTATCCTATCTGATGAGCATGATTGGCACGCTCAAGCTGACTGAATTAACACAGCTGAAACCACATTAAATTAAATTAAATAGTTACATGATTTGCTGCCTTCTCCCTCTACACCAACGACTGCAGTTCAGGGGACCCATTTGTCAGATCACATAAATTTTCTGATGACACCACATTCATCAGTCTTATTGGAGACAATGAGTCTGCATGGAGTCTGCATACAGTTGGGAGGTTTATCAGCTGGTCCTCTGGTGCAGTCAGAATCATGTGAAGCTGAACAAATATATATATATATATATATATATATATATATATATATATATATATATATATATATATATATATATATAATATATATATATATATATATATATATATATATATATATATATATATATATATATATATATATATATATATATATATATATATATATATATATATATATATATATATATATATATATATATATATATATATATATATATATAAATATACATACATATTTAATTATTGTTATTATTATTATTATTTTCATTTTTCACACTTAAAGATATTTTTTAAATTAAAGGTACTTTTTTTTTTGTTGCAGGTTCAATTTTTTCAGATTAGGACCTTATGTATTTCACATTAATACTATGTTTTCAGTATTTATTATTTTTTTTTTTCACTTTTAGATTGTATTTTTTTTTTTTATGCCCTGTTGGCCCTCTGCCCTGGCATGGGATGTGTTGCATCAACTAAGAAGAGTGTGGGATTGTAAGTGACAGCATATCAAAGAAATAATACTAAATATCTTAATGCTGGATAACTTCTGAAATGTAGGAACATTCAGGAAGATGGTTTTAGGTATAAATGCAGTTAGTAGGCACAAGGTTAGCATGACCTAGCTTTATGCTATTAACTGCTGTTAGTTTTGTTAACATTTTTTTTTTAATTCAGGATCAAATTTTTTTTTCAAGACAAACCTTTTGGCCTGGATTTAACTTCATATACACAAACTTAGTCTGATTTAGAAGTTTGCAGAAGTTCAGTTTTACATGTGTTCAGATTCGATAAGAAAAAAGAGAAGCACAAAAAAGACATCATTTTCTAATGAAAGTTTTGTAGAAGTGTGAAAAGCCATTGGGACAAGCATGGTGGAACTGTGTTACTTTAGGCATGCTTGACTGTCCTAAGACTTTGTGGTGAAACACAAGCAGCTGTTAGTTAACCATTGTTTACTGGAGTTAATGAAGTCCAAGAGCCTGAAGAAGATATGTTAAAATTTATTTTGAATTTCTTTAAGAGGTAGCGACTAAAGGGAGAAACTTTAGTCACCACAGGAAAGATCCCTGTGGTAAACCACATGACAGAGAAGATGACTTGAAGACACGGTATCTCACTGGAATGTTTTGTCTTTAGTCAGTAGGAAGGAAAACCATTCTAATACTGTCCCTCAGATAATCTTACCTAATGCTGTAGTATCTTTATTAGGATGTGGTTGTCTGTGGTGTCAAAGCCAGAGCTGAGGTCCAGGGTGACTCAAACTGAGGATTCACATTTGATGACCCTTACATGCCATTAGAGACTCCTTGAAGGGCTGTCTCAGAGTAATGGAGTTCTTGAAGTCCAGAGTGAAATTTATTGTGTCCCCTCATCACAAATGAGTTGACTGGCAACTGTCTTTTCAAAGATTTTGACAGGAGGAGAGTTTTGAATCTGGTAGTGCAGGGTCTAAGTTTTTTTTTTTTTTTTTTTTCTTTTTTTAACATGGACTTTTACATGTTTAAAATAGGAAGTGACACATCCTGTCAACAAAAGCAGGTTAAACTGAGGGGCCAATGGCAGAAAAACTTGCGAACAGTGGATCAGAAGATATCTAGTGGTCAGCTTACTTCTTCTCTCTTTCATTTTGTAGCATTTCCCATGAATCTCTTATGTTAAGGAATGAGAGATAAGTTAACAGTGATTGAGAAAGTACAGGATGTGATTTCTGTCTCTATGAATGCATTGAAAACAAAAGCAATCATTATTGTAAGTCAGCCTTAATTTAATGTAACTTGTACAATAATGTTTTACAAGAAACATCAAAATCCCAGTAAATGGAACAAATCTGAGGGTTTGTGATTCAAGAATACACCACTATGATTAAAGGACTTTCACAATAGCATGTTGGACTTCTCTGCATTCTGTTTATGACCCCGTTGATCCATGTTCTGTATTTAGAGCCATCCATAAATCCATCTGGTGCAACACTAGCATATTTAGAATTGAGGGTGAAAACATTTGCCTTTACAAGCTATGTCTAAACTTAGTGTTCTCCCCGGACTGTCATAAAACCTAAAATATTACTCATCATGAGGTTCATGACTGCTTTTTTGCTGTTGGTGCTCTGAGTGTGTTCATTGTTGCCACTCCTCTGAAGATCAAACACAAAGTTTAGTTCATGTAATTAGTGAAATACATCCTACTGCAGCTGGCGTATCAAGACAGGGAAGTTCAGATGAGGTAATAAAAGCGACTGAATTCAAACAAAGGCGGTTTGACTTGAAGTGATAGTAGTTCATACACGAATACGCAACACTAATGCACACTATGGCTTCTTTTGTTCCTGTACTACAGATATCCAAATGTTTATTTGAATCTCACTATCTGAGTATAACCCCTTCATAGACATGGTTTTATCCTCTGACTTCTTTGCATTTGTGACAGGGACAAGGCTCCATCCTTAGGCTGACTGTTTTCTTACTGTATATATGGGGAGACTTCTACTATCAATTGTAGCATCCAGACAACCCTGTGTGTGAAACTCACACAGTCTTTGCAGGAAAGGTCCCTTGTCTGGTCCCAAGACACAGGATAATATAAATCTTTCCAGACTTGTTTGCACTTTCAGGTTACCCAACTGACCCGACCGAAAGTGGAGTGAAACCTCTGGCCTTTCACAAATGGTCAATTCGGAAAACAAAGAGAGTTTTTATTACCTTACAGACTGACTCCATCACTAACCATCTAAACAACCATTAATGCCTCAATCCAGGTCTCCAATTTGAGATTTCCTGTCTCAAAGTGTGTGAACACACAGACTCCAAGGAAAGGTCTGAGGAGCAGAACGCTGACCACCAGACCTGTGTCGTAAAACCCTGCTCAACCATACTCTGATAAAAACTGCATTCCTTTGGTGAAAGAATTCAAATGACTGATTATGACATCTTATGCATTCAGCAATGTACTAATCTGTCTAATCATGAAATTTGTGGTAAAATGAGATGTGTCCCATTTTTCTATGTGCTCCAGAAGCCAAGTTATCACTCTGACAGAATAAATCCTTTATTCTTAAGTTTCTTTTGACCATCAGCTTTTCAGACTGTTTCATGAGTCACAGAAACAGTTTGGAAATATTTGGTTTATATTTTAAGCATTTATTTAGTGTTGTTAACCATTCGGTGGTTATAATGTCATTGAATAATCTGAATGTGAATATAACAAGTCCATTATTAATCATGATGAAGTGCATTCACATGTATTTATTCTTTTGTTGTTCACAGTTTCTCTGTGTTACTGTCTGTTTCATTTGAGAGTAATTTAGTATGTTCAGTGTGATACTGAAAACAAAATGAGAATGTTTGACGTGATGCTACCTTTCATTCATATGTGTTTAGTATCAAATCATTTATTATGAACCAAGTGTCCCCGAGACACTTCCAGTGTGAAGGAGATAAAACTACTAAAGTTGGGGGTGTTACGTGTTCATTCATGTTGTTTGATTTTTCTTTGACATCGTCTCAGTTCAAGTGTTGAAACTTCAACTTTTTGTGAGCATAGCAATTCAAGATTAAGCCTTTAATTGATTTTTCTTTAATTTTATAAAGCCGTTTTTGAAATTGTTTCGATTGGCCATCAAGTTTCTTTCTTCTTTGTCAACTGTGTGATTTCAAAGTCCCCTCTGAATGCCACCCAGCAGGCCCAAAGTCATCCTCTGTGGTATGGTTTTAAAGGATAAATAAGGTGCTGGTTTTTGCATTCGGGCCTGGGGGCTGTGACTCCTGGCCCATCTTCCGGCTGACTTTGGTCATCTTCTGAGCTGAAGAAACTCAGAAACAAACTGCCGATAGCCCAGGCTTTTGCAACCTACTCCATCTTCTCCAAGGACCAGT